GAAAGAAAGAAAGAAAGAAAGAAAGAAAGAAAGAAAGAAAGAAAGAAGAAAGAAAGAAGTAAAAGGCTTCATTATGTGAAATTTCCCTTTACACATAAATGCTTCCCCAAAATCTAATTACAAATCCCCGGTAACCAGACATACGCAAATGCAAACAGACTAACACTTTGTCTCATTCATACCATCCAGCCTGGTCAATATATCCAGAGCATAACACCTGTAAAATGGATGGAGAGGAAATTTCTAAAAGGAAAATGAAGGATAGGTACAAGTAGCTAAAACCTTTCATATCATGGCTCCTTTATTGTTGATGCCCCTCTTTTCAGCTAATAATTCCAGATTTTTTTTGGGGGGGGGAGGAATCCCATGGTATTAGGATGAAGGGGAGGAAGCGATGAGGAGGACAACATTTGCTGCGGGGAAAAGTTCCACCTTTCTCCCACCCTGCTAATGGCCCGATAGTCCCATTTGTCGATCCATCCTTGAAGAAACGAACACAAGCTGCACTTCCATTCATTGTAACAACCACACAGCAGACCCTTCTTAAGAGCATCCACTGGGTCCCTTAAGCTTTCAAAGAGACAGGCAATGTTGTACACATTTAGAGTGCTTTCCCCAACCCCAAGCCCCGTATAAGTCATGCTAGATTCACTCACTTGACCTTCCTGCTGTCACTCTTGCCCATCGAACCCTGTCGCAATGAACTGAGTGTGCTGGAGTGCTTGCGTTTCCGAGGTCGCCCCGGTCCCCGCCGAGCTGGACTCCGGGAACTGTCCTCTCGCCTACAGGTAACAACCATATTAAACACAGAACAAAAGGGCAGGAATGGCCCTGCTCCCATATACCGAGGGTCTCTTTGGAGGTGGTCTAGTTTAGAGGAGAGGGGAGGCCTTTGACCATCACCTGGCCTTCGGATGCTACAGTAAACAGATCAACCAGCAGATTCAAAGCTATTTCACCCCCTTACCGCTGGCATCATTCCTGGTGCCGTTTTGCTTTAACCACTTTCCTTCCAAGCAAGTGGGTCAGGTGCTTATCTCAGAAACCATTTGTGAAAACCGAGGAAACCAGACACTCACTCATGGTCATGCCGTCTCTGCAACTTGGCCAACTCCCGCTGTTTCTCTTTGTAGCGCCGCTGCAGTTCTGCTAGGCGCATGCGCATCTCCACCTCCTGGGTGTCCAAATTCTCAATAGCTGCTTTCAGAGGGCAAACCTTTGGGGAAGAGAGAAAAGGCCACCTTAGCCACAGAGGACAGCAAGAGGTGACAGGGTGCATAGCATGTTTTATTCAGGCTTTTACTCCTGGTAGTTTATATGCCCTGAGACTTATTTGCGCTCTTGAACTGAACAGGTTTAGAAGGCCAGTTGGTTCTACTTATGTACTTGCAGGGTGACCTTTAAGGGACCACTCGTGGGATCTTCACTCATGTTTCAAGTGGGAGCCATTTTGGCCACCCAACATCTTCAACAGCTAAGAAATGTAATTAAGACAAATTAATTTGAGGGGATTTCTGGAGTTCAAAACAAAATTGTAACAAGAATGCTCCTTGTTGAAATTTCTTCTTCCTCTTTTTCTTTCTATAGTTAATTAACTTTGATAATGATTTATCTCCTTGCTGCACACACTGAACATACAGAGATCTTTAGAGATTTCCCTTCTCTTAATGGACATTCTTGTCATTTAGGAACTCAAGTAGACGAAGCACCTTAAGTCCACACAATACTGCTACAGTTCTCAGATTGCAAGTGGTCGTCTTATAACCTGGTCACTTTATGATGGACCGTCGAAAGCTACTTATGACCTGTTTTCAAAGTTACGATGGGGACAAACTATCACTCATCACTCACAATCACATTTTCGGCGGTTGGTAATTGACTTGCTTTTATGTCAGTTTGCATCATTTTTTGTGATATTTTTTACCAGTTTCTGGGGTATACTTCTTGTTTCTGGCAAAAAACTCCCATCAGGGGAAACCAATTTATTAATAACTGTGGCGTTCACGTAACAACTGCAGTTTTTGCACAATGACCACTGCAAAAAATGTCAAAAAAGTCAGGTTCACTCACATGATGCCTCAAGTCTACAATTTATGACCATAATTCAGAGCTCAATTACTGTTGTAAATCAAGGATTATCTGATTTTGTACACGATGAGAAGCCTAACATTCTAGCCTCCATACACTCTATCCAGCCAACTTTCCCTATAAATATGATGATTAACATTGGAGAGGCTGATACAGCAAAAGCTATCCTGTGAAGTTGATTAAGGCAAGCCTTAATAATTGTCCCCTTATCAAACAAAAACAAATACACAAAAGAGGGAATAAAAAATGCACTTCCACGTTTCAAAATCTTCTACACGGTTTTGCTTGTAGACCACAGGTAGTCCTCAACGTATGACCACAATTGAGCCCAAAATTTCTGTTGTTAACTGAGACATTTGTTAAGTGAGTTTTGCCCTGTTTTATGACCTTGCTTGCCACAGTTGTTAAGTGAATCACTGCAGTTGTTATTTAGTAACAAGACTGTGAAGTGAATCTGGCTTCCCCACTGACGTTGTTCGGACAGAAGAACACAAAAGGTGATCACGTGAATCCAGGACACTGTAACTGTCATAAATATGAGTCAGCTTCATAGCATCTGAATTTTGATCAGGTGACTGTAAGTTTGAAAAACGGTCATAAGTCACTTTATTCAGTGCCCTTGTAACTTTGAACAGTCACTAAGTGATCTGTTGTAAGTTGAAGACTACCTATTCAGCAGTCTTGCCAGATTCTATTATCTCATCCAGAAATATCCAGAACAAGCCATGTTTTTGTTAGAATGACTAAACATGCATTGAAGTGTCACACAAGCTCCACCTCTCACAGGTGACTATAATAAATGCACAAAAAGGATTTGCAGTGTGACATTATAATGAAAGTTTCACTGTTTGCTCATCTTGCTTCCCCTCCCAAGAATGAGTCTTAAGGGATAAAAGATTATCCCTCAAACACGAACAATTTACCACAGGAGTCTCTGTTATTACCTGTGGAAATTGAGATCCTTCTTCAAGTGAGATAGGTGAATATTTTTGTGGTCTGTAGCAGCAAAGATCATATGGCCCAGAAATACACCACAAAACTATGTGTGATAACCCGGGGCATGGCACAAAGGCAACACAGTCACATAAATAAGAAACGTCCCTTTAATATCTCCAACTTTGCCCCCAAAGTCCAGTTATCTTTGGTTGGAGAAAAAACTCTCCCCAAAACAGTCTTTAAGTGGAGGATATTCAGTCTGAAAACAAAGTACATATAAACTAAATCAAAATCCACAAAAAAGCACGCTGCAGCAATTAACTGGACAGGGCAAGGTAAGGAATTGCAGATTTCAAAGGCCAACAAAACACACACAGTTGGGAAGACGTCAGGAACCCAGATAAGCCTCGACAATAAAAGATAACTCATGATTTGCTTCCAACAAGTTGCTATGCACAATCTCCCTTTTTTTAAACACTGTGTTCCCAGCTGCAGCTAATTAAGGGAATCAGGGCCCTTTTCTCCCCCATAAGCCACACAACTCACATTGCTCCCTTCTCCGTTCCTCCCTGTGTGCCCTAGGATGAAGAGGGGGTGAGCCTGGGTCTTCCTCTGCCTTGCTGTACCTCTCCCCTGCTCTGCCCAGCTGGACTTTGCCCTTTCCCAGTTTCTTCCACAGCTGCTCGGCCTCCCCCTCGGAATCAGATTCCAACAGGGGCATGACACTATGTCAGGCTACAAAAATGGAATGCTGGCATGTAATCTTTCAGTCCATCAGCTCTGTCATTCATTTTGAACTCAAGAAACTTACAGGCTTGGTTTTAGGGGTCCAGATGTATTTCCGTCGGGAGACCCGCGTGCGAGGGTGCAGATTCACACACGGTGCGGCATCTGCCAGACTGAGAAGGTCAGGTGGGCTGCTCTCGAAGCCAGTGGCTTCCACAAGAGCCCAGGCAGCAGCAAGGGTGGCTAGACTTTGCAAATTGAAGGCTGCCAAGTCTTCATCCAGCACTGTGGAAAACAGAAAGATACAGTCGGAGACGATCAATTCTCATTCATTGAATGGGTTATTAATAAGTTATGAACTTACATTTCCAACCTAGGGCTCTCAATCTTGTCACATCAAAGGAGCCGTCACATTCAGAGCTTCCAGACTAAGTCTGCCTTCTTGGTGTGCTCCTACCTGCTCCTCTATCTACCATACGGCGTTAGTTAGTTTGCTGCTTAGCAGATCTTTGGATAGGAAGGAAATTCCTTCCTAACCAAAGATGGGCTCCAGCACGAATCCGAAAGCTCGGAAGACAAAACCTCTGGTTCTGGTGACCGACCCAGACTGGATTTTGCAAAATTATCCTGGGACACATATATTTGCCTTCATTCGTAGGAAAGAAAAAAAACAGAACTAGCAGAAGGAAAAATTGAGGAGGGTTGCAAACAAAAAGGCCTCATAGTAAAGAGCATACTCAAAATATTTCAGCTGCGTGATAAATACTTCATCTTGTAACACCTCTGAATTCATAGGCCACCCCTAGTGACTGGATGAAGGTATGTATCTTGGGCTTCTATGCATATTTGGTGGCATCTCACAATCTACCCCATTTCCTCAAAAGACCCTGTTCTTTCCTCTTCCCAGACACACCAAGCTGCTTTCCCCCCTCTCCTCTGTTAAGAAGGGCTGAAAGAGAGTCACGACATAGAAAAAGTTGGCTTGCAAGTGATGGTCATTTAGAAAAAAAGCTCTTCCCAGACCATAGCTTAAAACCACGAGGTCCCTGTTTGTACTTCTTTGCAGAATACATCCGAAGTCCTTTCCCACAGAGGTTAAAATTGTCAGGATATCACCTGGCCAAGCAAGAGACCTGAGAAGCCCATTTGGGTCAGCAAGCAGAAGCTATCATTGCCGGAATTTAAGGAAAAAGGGGCCTATTGGAAATAGCCTCAGAAGTAGAAGATGTGTTCAGGAAGGAGGGAAACAGGTGCTCAAATAGGGAGAAAAGCTGAAAGGGCCAACCTCTGCATGAAGATATATATACAAGTGGAAAAAGGGTAATCATGGACATTTTTTAAAACAAAACAAAACAAAAACTGCAGTCTGTATGTGTGGGTGTACCTCTTTAAAGACACCTCTCCCTCCTGGGCTGTCGCTCTTTGTATACAAGTGCATCTGCTTGTGAAAGTGCCTGCGCACACGTATGAGAAGGCACATAGGGGAGTCCTTGTATGCGGTTTCCGTTCCACTGTGGGCAAGAACGGTTTTGGTGTGTGAGCAATAACCGTTGGGTGTACAGATGAAAAGCACAGACATCGCCTAGCCACAGGGGACGATAACCATCTGCATATGTGGGTTGGTGTAAACCTCGCCACTGTGGGAGGCAGGAAGTGGGAGGCTTGAAACAGCAGCAGAAAGGTGTAGGGACAAAAAATGAAGGACTTTCACTACTCAAATGATATTGGAGGATTGTGATTATTATTAGCAAAGGCCATTATTATTCATAAGCAGAGAATATGAGATACTTCTTGAGAGCCAAGATGTTCTAAAAACAGGAGACATCAAAATAAATCTGGTCACAGACCAGTCAAGTGCGCTGTTCCCCAGCTTTCCAAGCATGCAAGGCCTCATAGTAATAGGCTAGTAGTCTAGGATGCTTATAAGCAAGCCCTATCCCAAATTAATTCACAACTCAAAATCCAACAGGGAAAGCCCCCCCCCCCCCCCATGGTTTCTACATGCAGTATACAGTAGTGAAGTCCAAAGCTCTTGCTTTCGAAGCTTTCAAAACTAAGAGGCACATTGATCATCAGCAAGGCCCAAGCAAATGCAACAATTCTAATACCTGCCCCGATTTCATCTGGTTTTTGGGCAATCCTCCAAATTCAGCCTCTAAATGGGAATTTACTATATTCCCTAGTGCTAGGCTTAAGTAGCCTGATGGGCAATTCTCTCCTGGCAGGGGAACATTATGAAAGGTGATTTGTGAGACTTTCAAAGTTGTACGCACTTCAAAGAGTCCATACTGCCATAACATGGTATGTCTACTCTAAAATCAATGACCTACATGAGATTATGTACCATTTTTGTTTACATGCGGTGATTCACAGCTTTTCAATCATTCATAATGCCAGAGATTATGCAAGTGCTGGGTTGTAAACCCAGTTGTGCTCTAAAGTCAAGAGTGGGATATCAGCATGCAGGCTTCTAAAGAAGAATACAGTTCCTCTGAGGAAAAAAGTAGAAGGCCTTGAAGAGGAATAGCTTAGCTCATGTCTGAATAATTCACTATCTCCTAACCCAGGGGTAGGGAAACTTGGCTCTTTTATCACTTATGGACTCTTCAACTCCGAGAATTCCTGAGTGAGCCATAAAAGGTTCCCCAAACTTGATTTCCCCCACAACTGAAAAACCAGTAGGCCAGGGATGGGGAACCTTTTATGGCTCACTCAGGAATTCTGGGAGTTGAAGTCCATAAGTGATAAAAGAGCCAAGTTTCCCTACCCCTGTCCTAACCAATCAGGGACCTGGTCATGTTGAGGATAGATACGATACAATCTTTGGTCTATTTTTCCAAAAGAGAAAGAGGGGATTCCTTTCTAAACAGTTGTGTACATGAGAGCAACCTGTGATGATCAGATATCTAATGAAGGGATCAAGAAACTATAGTTGTGTAGAAGAGATACTTCATCAATGATGGATCAGGCTAAGTGACCTTTTGGAGACTTCCAGTGAGAATTCATGGTGAACTGACATCCCTGAAGGAACGAGAATGGCATTGCAGCGGAGACTGGCCACCTAATAGCAGAACTCTGGTTGACAAAGTCTCTCTGGAGAAAGGAGAGGTAGTGAGATTGCCCACGTACTCCAGACACCTGCTTTTTATGAGTAGACTACAGGTACCAAAGTTTTTGTGGTTAATTTGTGAATCAAGCAGCTGGGAGTCTAGGGATTTCAACCAAGTTCACAGCTGTAATGCAGCCTATATGGATATAGAGTTTTCCAGGCCTGATGTCTTTTTAAAATATTTCTTAATTGCTTTTCAATTATTAGGAACCTTTGAATTGAAAAAAAAATATACAAAATTTTATCACAGGGTGAGTTTCCTTCAATCCATAATATAAATTTAAGAATTTTAAAAATATTTTTGAATAAACATCGAACAATTTATTATAATGTTGATTTTGGAAAGTTACCTATGGACTAAAGGTCCAAATTTGAAATAAGATTTTGAAATTTTTTGTAAGAATCCTTCCTGTGGGAAAATGTTGTTATTTGCAATTATGAAAAGCATGATAAGGTTGAATACTAGAGGGAATCAGAAGGAACTATTTACTATTACTATATTGTAATTAAAGGAGACTAACAGATTTGACTTACTAATAGAGAATGCAGCAAAATATTTTAATATTGGACCTATTTAAGGATATTTCTGAACAACGGACTCAGAAATTAATCCTTGGAATGTCTACTATTATAGATCCATGAGAACATGTTTAATGTTTAACTGGCAAGACTGGGACTGATTTGAAAGTGGATTTTGAAGTGCCATACCATAGAAAGGATATGGAAAAAGATGCTGCACTGGATATACAGATAGAATTGGCTAGTGCAGGGGTCTTCAAACTTGACAGCTTTAAGACTTGTGGACTTCAACTCCCAGAATTCCTCCTCCAGTCATGTTAGCTCAAGAATTCTGGGAGTTGAAGTCCACAAGTCTTAAACTTGCCAAGTTTTGAAGACCCTTGGGCTAATGTCTTAATAATTAAATGGGATATACAAATAATAAACCAGAAGAATAACCTGGATACTTTACTATATTGTATTTATAAAAGAGACCTGTTAGTTTTGAAAGATTTTATGAGAATGGATAAAGAAAAAATGAAAATAAATCAAATCGTAAGATATTATTTGAAGGGATTGATAAAAATAAAAGAATATAAAGTTGGTTCACCTGATCAAAGTTAAAATAGATATCACGGATATGACCAGGATTGAACAACAAGGCCTTAAAGGATTTATCTGTAGAAAAGAGATATGGGAAGAGATTGTTTGCTGTATTTTAAGAGGTAATAAATTACTAAAATTGTTTATATTTGTGATGAAAATCATTTCATCTCTTTTCTTTACTATATTTTTATTTTTCTAATATTTTTTTTCTATTTTTTATTCTTTTAACTTTTTACTTTTTATGTTTTGTTTGTATTGGTTTGCTGCTTCAATTGTAATATTTAATAAAATTATTACGTTACAAAAAGTACTAGGTGTCCTTTGGAATCCCCCTCCTACTGTACAACTCTGGATGGGGACTATTTGAGTGACATCTGATGGGAAGGGCATGCTTGGGAATCTGATTAGCAGCTGTTCCATGAAACACTAAAAAGCTAATGGAAGGAAATAGGGGAATAAGCCCTACTAGCCATGTGTGGAAAAACATCTATTATACACCCCAAGAGGACAAGCATGGACACCCTTTTTTTCCAAGGTCTGGGAAAAGATTCTAGAGCTTCTAGTCCTGGTCCCTAGACAATCCTCACAACATGAGCAAATGTTCAACTTCTAGTTCATTGCCATGCCTTCATACAGTATTCCTTTATCAATTCCCTGCTGGATAGTCAGGAGGCAGGATTAGGGTATGGGAAAAGGGAGCTTCTCATTCCGTTGCCGACATTGGATATTTGGCTCTGCCTTTGCCTTAGATGGGAAGTGCCTTTTTTTGGGGGGGGGGGGGGCGCAGGGAATAAGTTGCCCTCATGAGCTGAAGAAGCCAGCAGTCTTCAGATACTAATAAAAATAGGTGCCCAGAAAGAAGCCAATGTTGGGTTTTTTGCCCCCATCAGCACCCTGTTTTGAGGTGGAGGGAAGGAATCAGGACAGGATGGCCTGTTATTTCCTTACCTGAATCACAGTGCCACTGACAGAGTTCCAGTTCAGCCAGCTCACTGAGCAGGGCAATGCCAGGAATCCCTGAGCTGGAGGGAGAGGGCAAGGGAAGGGAAGCTTCAGAAGATGGGGATTCCAGGTCTGGGAGTTCACCCAAGTTGATGCTGGCAGCAATAAGGGCATCCAGGCCATATGGTGCTACCTGGACATCAGTCTGTGTTGACGGAGCGTCGGGTAAGACAGCGTTACTCTCAGCTTCCTGACAGTCAACTTCCAATGCTGCAACAGGACTCTCTTCCATACTCATCACTTCAGGGGAAGGTCCTGGCGTGGCAGCATCTGAGCTAGGCTCCTCCTGATGTTCTTTTTGGGTAGAATCCAAGTCATCTGGGCTATCCCTGACCAGCAGGGAGCAATTTGGGGTATCCTTAATCGTTTCAGTGGAGCTTGGTCTCTGGGGATGGACAAGTAGATGTGGAGGGTGAGCACGGGTGGGTTCCACTTCAGAGTCCCCAGTCCCACTGGGTGGGCTAGCTTCTGCCTCGCAGCGTGGCTCCTGCTCTGGTGGAAAGGTGCGTGACTGTTCAGGCTCAGCTGCTGTAGAAACAGTTTGCATAGTGTCAGGATCAGCTGGGTCCCGGGGAAATGGAGATGCATAGCCCAGACCAGCCGCGGGGTAGGTATAACCAGGGGGAAGATCTACAAAGAAAGGAAGAGTCCCAGAGTAAAAGCATGGCAGGGGACTAGCTGACTATCCATAGCAAATATTGATAGCCTCAAATACAGGTGCCACAAAGAGCAATACCACTTGACAACATTCGTATTTCTCTACGGACTGCATGAAATATTCTATTTGTACTAAATTGCTCAGATTCACATGATATATTCTGCAGAATTGTCTCAAAAAAGAAAAGAAAAGAACAATGAAAGGAAACGCCGAGATTGAAGGAGATTCCATTTGAGGCAAGAAAATCCAACATCAGGCATGAAAAGATTCTGGGCTCCTGATTGTGGACAATGGAAATACTACGTAAGTCCCTCCAATTTCTGAGCCTACAATACATACAATATAGGCATCCTATGTGTCCATACTCCATCTTACAGTCATCCCCAGTTGCTGCTGCTCTTGATCAGCTATGGGGAAATTTAAACACACTGCTGCTTCCTTACGCTCAACAGTAGCAGGAAAGCTACATGGAAGAGCAATCTTCCATGTGTAAAAACCCTTGTTCCTTTGCTAGTAATTGTTAGTAGGTGAAGTGTACTTTGGTTCCAACTACCTTTGTAAGGCTCCATCTCCAGCTTCGAAGACTTTTAACATAGCTGTCCAACCCCAAAAAGCTTCCTGTTTTCACTATGTGTGTCAAGCATCTCTCTATAATCACAAGTTTGTATTTGTCCTATTTTAACAACCTGAAACAAGACAGTGCTATAAAAAAAATTGATCAGTGAGCCATCCCTTGTACTTTCCAGAATCCTTACTAGCAAGTCATCCTTTTTTCAGTGTGCTCTTAATTGAATTTAAACTGTTGGATTACAGAACTATACCAAATGTTTGCTTGACCCCTTTTATTATCATTATATACAGAGCAAAGTGAAATCATACAGCTGCTAGTTCTTTAGATGGTGTTGGTCTTCATATGCATCAACATCTTCCCAAGAATCTAGGATGCCATACAGTCATAATAGCATATGTGCAGATCCAAGCAGTGTGACCCTGTATTTGTTGTTGGTTGCACAGCCATCCAGAAGTTTAGACTGAATTTAGCATGTGTGTCCAACTGTCAACTGTACCCAGAACAGGTAGATGTTATCATTTAACGATATCAAAGGTATTGCCTCAGGATGTAAGCTATTCCAAGGAGAGCTGCCTTTTGCAATTGACTGCTGGCGATTTTGTCAATGCCAGTGGTATTCAAATGGTGCTCCAGATGTTTATTATTATGATTATGATTAATTTATTGGTCACCCAAATCCAATGGACTTTGGGTGACGTACCAATATAGAAAAAAAAAAAACATACAAAGAGCTAAACCATTCAACGGACAGCCCAGATTAAAACAACCCAACAGACAGCAAAGCCAACAAAAGAGGGGCCATTTCTCATCCCAGTTCTCAGCGTGCCATGAATGAATCTCTACCTGGTTCCAGTGATTTAGGATAGTCCTGGGCTGGCCGCCCTTCGGGCTGCTTATCCTCAGCTTCAGGACCCGTAGAGTTCTGGGAGGGCACTGGGCTTACAGCAGGGGAGCGTGGCACCACAGCAGGGCAGACAGGTAAAGTGCAGGGACCAGGGCATTTGGGTGGATGGCAGCATGACGAGAGCTTGACTGAGCAGGCAGCTGCCGGGGACAGGCCCTTCGGAGGAGCGTTTAAGGCAACTGCTTTGTGAGATGGTTTGAGTGGCTTTTCAGGACCCGGCAACTCCAGCTCTGGTGGGGGCTCTTCGGGCTTCCGCTATTAAGTAGGTGAGGGAAGAGAAAGAGATGGATAGTCAATAAGTACATCAATCCCACATAAATAATGACTCAGGCAGCAATAAGTTCAATAGTTGGTACTATTAGTGTGCATGTCTTAAGACTTCCATGTGGTTCCAACAACCTATAAATTAAGGACTGACCGGTGGAGCATGTCACTGTCTTCCCTTCATGATATACCTTACACAACACCGCAGCTGGTATCATAGCCAATGTGCAGTCCTGTGCTTAGGCTGACTCCGTGGTCTTTTGGAGACGGTATCCCTCCAGAGCAAAAACCGGAAGAACAATGTCAATGAGCTCACCAGGGAATCGGATACATTTGAGAGGATGGCTAGCTTTATGTTTTCTACTCTTCTGTCTTGGACTGTGCAAGCAGGAACTGAGACTGGGCTTATGTGGTAAGTAAGTAGAATCCTGCCTTAAAAGCATTCAGGCTCTGCAACAAAAAATTGTGCAAATTCAATTAAGTAGGGAACTTTCTTCTGCAAAATGTTTCAATTGCTGCTACTCAAACACCTACACGGAGAGAAGAAGGCCTGTTCTGTGAACCTGGCAATTTTAATTAAGCAGCTCTCTAATTAACATACCCCCATAATTTTTCAAGGGTATCTTTTTGGAAACTGAATGAACCAAACATAAAATTGGATCCAAAGGTTCAACACAACATAGCATACATTATTTTGTACGCAAGGCCTTGAAAGAGAGACTTTGGAATCAGGAAGCAAGTTCTTCTTCCCCATATGATGTTGGATTCCATCATTATCGCAATCTCATAACTAGAAGCAACGGGAAGATTAGTATAGATCTCTAGCCAATATCGCTTCCCTTGAGATGAACTCAGGAGATTACTTCCTCATTCGGGATCTAGCCAAGCACTTTTGTCTGGAGTTTAGATGGGTTTTTCCATCAGTTGATTAGAACATATTTTCTCCATCTTCTTTCGCACATACGTATTTTGTAAATGGCTAAATTACTTTAAACAATCACCTTCCTGCAATAAATCTATGTGTGTCTGCATCATCCTGGGATCTGGACCACATAGGACAATTTGTACTGAAGGAGCTTTATGGTGTCTGGATTGTTTTACAAAGAACAAGATTTGATCACAGTTTGCCTATGTATTATTAACAGCTCTGGGCAGCAAACAACAACACTCAGCCATACAAATTATCAATAAAATCCAAAATGTATTACAGCTGGGGCAGCATAGCTGTATATCAACACCCACAATGCCCTTACATGGGCTCCCAACTTCTTAGCTGCCAACGTCCTGGGGAAAAAGCCAGGCTTTGGACATTTTAAGGAAGATTGTCAGTCTAATCATTCCTACACCCTGATTATCCAGGTGTTCATAAAGGTTTGGGTGGGTTGTTTTTTTTAATGTTTTTCCAACTTTCCAGGAAGAGTTACCAAGAGGTGGTATCAGCCATGCCATCTCTTTCGCAGGCCTACCTGGCTGTGAGTGTGCCGCTGCACTTCCAATGCCTGTGCTGCTCGCTGCTGTTGCTGCTGCTGCTGCTGCTGCTGCAAGGCATAGAGTTCTTGCTGACGCAGGAACTGTGAGCGAGAATAGACAGGCAGTTGTCCTGTGTGCTGCAGGTGAGAACCAGGGCCCCGGCTAGGATACATGGATGGCCAGATAGATGCCTGATCCATCACCTCAGCTGCAGAGAAACAGGAGAGATAATCAGAGGACTAAACAAAGCCACTGCCTCTTCTTACAGGAGAAGGACCTTTACCTATAACCGATAATCAGAGTTGGAAGGGACCTTGTAGGTCATCCAGTCTAACCCCCCGCCCAAGCAGGAGACAACCCAGGGAATATGCCGCAGCTAATTCTCTTTGGCTTCCACTTACCCAGGGTGTGGGGGGCTCCATGGGCTGGAGGCTCAGAGGGCAGGATAACTAGCTGAGCAGGTGGCTCCTGTGATAGAGGGAAGACGGGTTGCATGGCACTGGGCATAGAAGGTGGGAAACCAGGTGGCAGGTTCTGATGCAAAGCAGGGTGACCGATGCCTGGAATAAGTTAGGAAAGAAAACATTTTTGTTGATGTGAGATAAGGCCCAGTTTCACCCATGTGCACAGCAACCCCATCTTCTCCAGGGAAAGGAGTTTTACACAGACACGTTTTTGCTTGTTCACAATTCTCATTTAACTTTTCATCTATCATGGGTGTGGATTCATCCCATGGAACAACATAGATAACATATTGTTAATAGATTTTAGCATCAGTTTCCATATGATTTTTAACTTTTTATATTGTTTTTTATTTTGACAAGGATGTTAATTGCTTTGAGTACTCACCAAAATAGGAAAAAAGGTATTAAGCAATAAATGGTGGTGGTGGTGGTGGTAGTGTCTATGTTAAAAAATGAGAATAGTATTGCTACTTCCACCTGTCTCTCCTGTGCAGTTAGCTGAGATCTTGGCAGGAAACAAACTCTCTCTCTCTCTCTCTCTCTCTCCCTCCCTCCCTCCCTCCCTCCCTCCCTCCCCCTCCCTCCTTTCTTCCTTCTCCTCAAGATGTGTATATATACCAATCATTTCTCCTATTTTTCTTCACAATTATCTACCCTGTGAAGTTGTACAGTGAAGAACTGAAGGCACCCAATAAGCTTCCAAAGCTGAGAGTGAACTAGAATCAGTGTCTCCACATTCCTAGTTTAACCCCTTAACCATTTTACCACCTAGAGTTAAATCAGTGGAAAGAAATGAACACAAGAATCCAGAGGCTCATTCTGGAGTTTCTCTGTATGTTATATGATTCTATATAGGAAATCATTGGTGTCTATTCAGATTCTTGATGAACACTGACAGGATTGGATATAGTATGATCCAAGTATTATTGCAGATTAATTTCCATGTAGGCTTCCTGTAATTCGTGGAATAGTGCAATTAGTCGGTTGGAATAGCAAAGTTGCCCTTGACCCCGCTAACCCTTGACCCCAATAGTAATCTGTTTATAAGGTCAATTTAGATCTCTTATCATTACCTATTCAAGCAGAGCATAGGGAAAAGACATACTCAAGGTTGCTTTCTTATGTTTCCAACACTTCATTAAATTTTGGATGTGTGATTGGTCAAAATCAGTGGCATGGATTATTTCATCACAAGACACGAGGAAACTTAGTGTAAGATGTAAGATAGGTATAACAATAAAAATACCTCCTAGATTCATAAAATTGGAAAATATTTGAAAATTCCAGCCCTTCCCATGTGTAACACTTGCTCTGTGCATTCTGCCTACTACAAAATGTCACTTTTTGGCCACCTATAAAGATTTGTTCATCTCTGCAGACAGGAATAATGGAAGGAGATTGGAAAATTTAGAGCAGGGGGTAGTCAACCTTTTTATACCTACCGCCCACTTTTGTATCTCTGTTAGTAGTAAAGTTTTCTCTAACCGCCCACCAGTTCCACAGTAATGGTGATTTATAAAGTAGGGGACAAAACCCCTACCGCCCACCATGAAAGCTGGAAAGCCCACTAGTGGGCGGCAGGGACCAGGTTGACTACCACTGGTTTAGAGGATGGGATACAACAAGGCAGGTTTTTGAAGCAAAAAGAGGTCCTAAGACTTTTTTTGGACTGAATTCTGTGGGAGGCTGGACTAAAAGCGGTAGCTCAGGCGTGTTTCCCTGACAGGTCAGAAATAAAAGAACAAGTGCATGAAGCCATGGAATCCAGATAAAATTTCCATCTTAGATACAAACTGTTTACTTGACTGACCATAGGAGTGTCCACCCATCCAAAGCGAAGGGCTACGTGTCCGAGGCAACCAATGCGCATGAGCAGGATGGGTATGCGCTGCTGGATCTCCTCCCAGTTGGCTGGTCTGCAATGAGGAACTGCCTGCAATCATCAGATGAGGGGTGAGGTCTCCAGGACAACTGCTTGAGGGGTGGATCCGGGCAAATTCCACAAGATCTTTGTTATCCCTGACAAATTAGAAGTACAGATAAAAGAAATGCAGGTCTGGTAGGTTAAAGAGATCCCTTGTCTCCTGGCCAAGGAATTACAGTATAGACTACGGGTGTCAAACTCGCGGCATCACTTTGCCATCACGGGATGTATTGTGATGTTTTTTCCCCTTCACGGAGCTGGGATGGGAGTGGCCTGCAGGTGACGCATCTGGCCCACAAGCAGGGGTGGGATTCAAATTTTTTAGCAACCAGTTCTGTGGGCGTGGCTTAGTTGATAGGTGTGGCTTGGTGGTCATGTTATTGGCTGGGCGTGGCCAACTCAATATCACTCACATCAAGGCACGCATCTCCTCGCCTAGCCTCTCATGACTGTGGGGATGCTGCAACAGTCGTAAGTGTGAAAAATGGTCATAAGTCACTTTTTTCAGTGCCATTCTAACTTTGAATGGTCACTCCACACAAGCAAAGTACCAGCAAAGGAGGGGGAAAAAAACTCCAGAGAAGTTCCTGAGACAGGAAGTCTAGTCCTGCCAAGAATGTAATAAGGGTTAACAGAGAGGCAGTTTCTGTAAGCAACACCAGAATGCTTCCTTCCTGCCTTTCTTACAGGATTAGGCCAGTAATTTCTTCTAACAACCAGTTCTCCGAACTGTTTAGAATGTTAACAACCGGTTCTAGTGAATAGGTGCGGACTGGTAGAATTCCACCCCTGCCCTTGGGCCACCAGTTTGACACCCCTGCTATAGACCACCATCCATTAATGCATAAATTATCTTATAATCTTAACCTTGTAAAATGGCTTGGATTCCAGAATAACAGCAATGACAACAATAGCAACAACAAACTGGCTCTCATAAGGAAAGATCCATCATTAGACAATTTTAACGTTAATTGAAAGATGCCAATGATAGCATTTTTTCTGGGACGCAAGTAAGCTTTGCTAAGTGCTCTCTACCATCACGCCCAGTCTAATTACAAATTATTACCAACCAACTACCAAGACAGTATTTAATCCCCTTTCCCTTATCTGGTGGCTGGGCTAAGAAGGCCCTTACTGAAGCAGGAGGTCTCTCCCAGCAAGCCCCAAACGCTCCTCACACAGCCGGTTCCGTTCTTCCTCAGCATCTAGATCGATGACGTGCATAGGCCTCGCTGTGCCAGCTGTGAAAAACGAACGGGAGAGCAGAGATTAATATCAGTTCCTGATATTAATGTCCAGGGATGGGAGTGGAAGGTTTTCTATACTCCCAGTTACATGAACAAGTATAGAGTCAAGAGAGTAAAGTAAAGATGATGGCATTGATGGATATATGCAAGAAGAGTTATCAAGGCAAAGCGGCTAAAACGTGTTTTGAGTTCTAAGAATATATATATTATATAT